GGTGGGGGGAGCACGTCGGGGCTGCCGTAGCAGACGCCACCGGTGGCGAGGGCGGTGGGCGGGAGCGGTGCGTCGTCGTACGCGAGTGCGGCCGCGGGGGCGCGAGCGGCGGTACGGCGCCCCGCTGGCGGCGGAGCGCGTGGTACATTGATCTGACCGTTAGGGCGCATCATCTCCCAGGCGCTCGCTCCCTCGCCTGAGGTCACAGTGCCGCCCCCGCTGCCGCGCGGCGCTGTATCTTTTTCCTCGGGTGCAAAATTATTGATTCCACACACAAGCCGCACGCTAACCCTCCTCCCTCCCCTTCCCGGCTCCCTGTAGCCTTGCAGGTATCTTTGAGTAAACACGGCTCGGGGAGAAGTTCCCGATAACGTAGAATATGGGTTGGAAACAAATGGGTTCGAAGCTAAATTTTTCACCCACCAATTGTTGCCTTACGCCAACAAGGGCAAAAAATATAAAAATGTAACAAACAGGTCTACAACTGAATACTCTTACTATTTAATGGCAAAGGAATATTTAAAAAATACCTGGAAATGTCTTTGTATTGATACTTTCCATAATTTAAATAGAACCTAAAATTCTCTAAAATTTTACATGTACTGTACTATACACAAATGCATCTTTTACAAACACGAGTCTATTAAAACTTCAAAATTTATCTTCGGTGGAAAGTCAAATAGAAAAGAAATATTCTTATTCTTATTATTATTCTTATTATTATTATTATTATTATTATTATTATTATTATTATTATTATTATTATTAATAATAATAATTTGTCAATTTTCACTAATTCTGTACACCTACAGTATTGATTAAAAATATTCACATGCAGAATTCTTATATATACCAAATAACCCTGACATATCATATACAATGGAATCGACATATCATATGCATTGATGCAATAGAAAAATAAAACATGATGAACAGTAGCTGTACATGAAGAAATTTAAAAAATGCATAAATACTAGTTTCACATTATCACAATGAACATTAAAATACAAAACTGCTTTTCACATTTTTCCCTTCCTTTCAATTTCATATTATAACATTAAAAAATTGCTATACAATATTTACTTTGAAAAGACTTCCCAAATAAAGCCAATATTTAAATCGAATATATAAATTTAGTCATTTTGCTTAACTAAATACATTTCATGACAAATCAATGCACTAATTTCATGAGGGAAGCTTATTATGTCCGTTTCACAACTGATAATGGATTCAAGAATATTATTTTGATATGTATTGAATTGTATAACAAAAACCACAGTGAAGAATCTGCAGACATGGCATTTGTGATCTGCCTATATACTGTCCTAATTTCACAAAAAAAAAAAAAAAATTAAGCTAGTTTCACTAAAGGGTGTTTTGCGCAGTTTTGTATATGTAATGCACAAACACACTAAACATTGAACAAAAATAGAATAAACAAATGAAGAGAGAAATTTCAATAAGTCTTGAAAGCGCACCTTCACAGACACAAAAGTATTTGTACAATTGACACTCACCCCTGGTCTATCCTGTCCACAGGATTGGGGCCTGGGATCTGGCCTGGCATCATGCCATGCGTTGGGATGGGCCCTGGTATTGGATGGCCAGGCCCATGGCCGAACGGAGAGCCTGGTGGAATGCCAAACTGAGGTCCACCAAAAGGCTGGCTCGGCGATGCAAAATGAGGATTACCTCCCCCAGGAGGACCGCCCACAAAAGGTGGTCCAGATGATCCTGGCCGCCCCACAAACTGTGGCCCTCCTGCCGATGGTGACCCAAAAGGTCCAGGTCCTGGACCGTTGTAGGGAGGACCATTGTTGGGAGGAGGAGGGAAGCCCGCATTTCCAACAGATTGAGGTGGCCCTGGTCCAGGGGTGGAGGAACCAGATGGCGCAGGGGAAGCTGTGTATTGGGGTGTACCAGATCCCGGTGGGGGTCCAGAGTAAGGAGGTGCCCCAGCAGGTGATCCGGCGCCGGCGGGCGGGCCTTGGAAGGGCGAAGGCCCCTGGAAGCCCGCCGCCGGCCCGGAGAAATTCTGCCCAGAATTTGGTGCAAAGTTTTGGGGCTCCGAACCGGGTGGCGGTCCCTTCCAGGTGGCAGCAGGGTCCTCCAGTGTTGCGGGCAGCGTGATTGGTGGGGCACCACGACCTCTACAACCTGCAGAAACAAAGAAATTAGGTGTAATTACCTTTACAAAGTAGTTGGTTTCTTACTTATAAAAAAAATTCCCTAATAAAAACAAAAGATCTTTTAGAACATAATTTACTAACTGCAGTAATTTTGTTTCACATATGGCTAAAGAATTTCACAAACTTCTTTATGTAGAGAAGAAGTCCATTATTTTTAGACCTAATTCATAGCTACTAATTTTCATTGTCTATATAGGTTTAATTTGAAGTCAATTTCATTCACTACTTTAGCATTAGATACATATAAGAAACATTAGGAAACTTACAAAAACCTTACCCACTTCTAATGCAACAAATGTACTATTAAGAAAGTATTGCAGGATTAATTGTAACATTCAATAAGCATCAGGACAGAACTTAAAGAGTCTGTCAAAAAGTAGCAACTTAATTACCACATACTATATCCATTTTAAATAAAATTTCTGTTGAGAAAGTATTTATTCCACTCACAGAATATCTTATGTCATCACTTATGCCATATTTTCCCAAAAATATGTTTTTTCAACAAAAGGATTTTTTTTTTCATTCATGCATTAAGTCCCAGAATTTCTACAAGTTTCTATTATCTACACAGTGAAAATTCTCACTCACCAAAACTTAAAATTGACAGAAAAGTCAGTCTTAAACATTTAAGTAGCCTACTCAAATAAGAAAATATTCTTCTATGGCAAAAATGTAATTATTCTAATATTTCATAACATGGTAAAAATACTGGAACATTTGCAACCAAATACTTCATATATTATAAATATATTCCATTCACTGAACTCTGTTTACTACCACACAGTTGCAATTAGGTTATGTTGACCTAAACAATTCACTTAAATGTTGGCAATAACCATGTTTATCACTCTTCTTACATATAACAATTCACCAAACTAAATATATATAGGGCTCGGCCCAGAAAAAAATAAATATTAATTTACATTTCTTGTTTCGTTGACCTCCGCGTCCTTGTCTCATTCTGTCAGTGTCAGAATAAGTGAAATTTGATTGTTTTTGTGTTCTGCCTTACTAGACGCATAACACCAAGAGCACACGAAGTTCTGGCCTGTGCCGACGCACACCTGAACACAATACATGTAACGAAACACAATTTTAAATAAATCATTCCAGTACAACATTTCCTTCCCTATGCAACATTTCTCCTTCATTCTGTAAAAACTCAGTCCTCCTGGTCAGATATTCCCCTTTTCTAAATAACTTCTCAAGAAACGCAGCAAGTAAACACCATCAAGGTCAAGCTAATGTTTATCTTCAAATTGCGTCCACGGAAAAACTACAACACAACTCATTATTTCATGACTTCGAAATAATATCGTAAAATATTACCACTTTTTGAAAATTCGCATTCTTTTTTAAATATAGAAAGAATAATAAACTGCTGACTTGGTGTATGTGTCCAACCTTTTTAAAAATCAACTTAGAGTATGTATTAATATACTGCACACACTACGATAAACACTCATCAAACTTCATTGTTCTTTCACAATATCCACGATACACCATTCAATATTAAATGAGAAAACGTTAATTTAGCTTATAACAGTAATAACCGCACACGAGAACCAAATACTTCACTAAAAAGCACGGTAGTACTTCCGATACAATTCACCATTTTTCTTTTCCGAACTCACATAAATAGATACTGAAACATTTTAAACATAAACCAAACGCCCACCTTTCTTGCCTCTTGCGAGGGCCGTTTGTGACCGGGATGTTGTGATTGTAGTGTCAACTAATTTTCTTCTTGGGCCTTCTGCAAAAATTATCCTGTGAGAAGCCACTGAATGCTGCCATTTTTACAGCGCGACGCGACCGGCTGAGGGAGGCAGCGGTGGGCATGTTGTCCTGCCACACATCCTCGGTGATAGTCAGCCACACTGCAGACGATGTCCACCGACAGTTTAACTTTTATTTTGCTTGACTTCTGCGTAAAAACTTTTCTTTTTTTCTCGCTTTTTTTCTTTAGTTTTGACGGCCGGATTTTTTCGTTCGCAAGTCTTCCATCGTGAACTCACAGTCAACGGCGGTTGACAGTGTCACCCTAAAAATCAATAAAGTTCTCCCCCCTGGCCCTTCCCGCCACCCCCTATTCCGCAACACTACACGACTATCATTACTAGGCACAATGTAATTGAACGGCGACGCTTCCCTAAATCTGGGCGGAGGCCCCTCAGCGAGCACCGCCTCCTTTTTTTCTCGGAGCACTTTTCTCGAGTTGGAGAGACACACAAATGCCACGTCTTAATGTAGAGCAGTCTGTCCTGGCGTGACTCTCCTCACTTCAGATTCGCGTGCACAAAAAACTGCCGCCTACTGGAGAAAAAGTCGCACGTCAAAATAGCTCAAACAGTCCGTAAACGAAACTGAAAGTAACATCGAAGCAGGTTATGCAGTATCGTTTATGCAACAATGCCGCATTAGTTTGACACTCGGTGAGCGAGTATAATATTCTTTCTCTGGAAATCATTCTAATTTAACACAATTTTTATATTCATTAAAGGTTGTGTTTAGCTAGTTCTAAGGGAATCTTTCAGGAGAAACTTCATTTACTATAGTTCAAGGACAGAACTGCTGTTGTTTTACACATTCTGAAAATTTGAGATTTAGTCCGAAACTTGACATCCAAAATGTGCCTTACAAGCCAAAAGAAACGACAGATATGTTCTCTCAATTCTTTAGTAAGACATAAATAACTTTTGAATTATTGAAAACTACGAAATGTATGTTATTCTCTGTCTCTCATAAGTGACCAATTCTGTGAAGATTATAGTAGTACCTAAATGATTTTAAAGTACATCAAACAAGTTTTATAATTGTTACTAAACTTTGTAACAACTGGAATATTTCATTTCACAACATTCAATTAGATAGTTAACTTGCATATCGAAAAGGATATTTCAGAAGCTTATTATTTTATTTCTTATTCATCCTTATATCAGGTAGGAAGACTAATGAAAAAATCTGATTTCCATTTCACTGGAGGCGCAGCGAGCATCGCCCGCGGGGGAGTTGTAAATACCGCAGTCTCCCAGGTTGTCACCTCACCGGTCTACAAATGCAACGTTGCCACACGTTGCCGCCGCGTACTGAAGGTAGCGGCGTCGATGATCGTCACGGCTTGGTTTGATTCGTCAACTCGGAACGGTACGGCCAAAACTACTTCATATGGAAAAAAGGCGTGGGCCCTGTACCGAGCACATGCACTCTTTTTTCATCTGTGAACATGTATTGACATTTCACCCACGCACCTCTGAGCGTGTCTTTATACTTTCAATGCTTTTCTTTATGAAGCACAATGTATGTTTTCATTCCCAGAGCTATTTGTAAATATTGTCGAAATAAAAATTCAGCATGGAAATGTCTGACTTCAAAAACGATATTGCAAAGGTGACAAATATTGGCTTCAACAAACAATGTTTATAGACGCAGCTTTTCGGACGCAAAAACTTCACATTTATAACAGTACACATTTCTAGCATCATATGTATTATTAAAAGAATATCTCCCATAGCTAAATGAGCATCTATAGTCTTTGTCAAATTAACCTTTGATTAACTTGAGATACTTGCAACAAATCTTATACAAGAATGAATCAATTGATGCTTAAATAACCAGTAATTCTTGTGACTTTTATACAGTGAAATTACTCTACTGTAAAATATAAACCTAGGGAAACACCACACCACTAATACAGAATCACCTCACTCATAAATTCATTTGTACATTTCAACTTTATATTACATGTTTACAATTTGTCCAAGAAAAATCAGAACCCAGTACATACAGAAGTTACATTGAAGTGAACATGAATATGAACCACAAATACAATTCCAGTAAACTGTATCATAAATAAAGACCTTTTTCTCTTAAAAAACCTTTTCAACTTCACTCCTTTCTGATTCCTGTTCATTTATGGAGAAGAACAAACATCAGAAATAATTAATAATTATGTTGTATTTCAAATTAAAAATTGCTATTAAACAAGTTTTTGAGTAGGAAAATATTACTGTATACAAATTAAAGAAATTTTTTCCTCTGAATATTTTATTGCATTTACCTCATGACAAGTTCTAATGGAAAATATGTCTAAGAAGAACTCTACATTTATACATTTCATACAAACATTTCCCTTCATTCTGACATACATATTGTTAAATTGAAAATAAAGAACCTAATGTTACAAAAATATATGATTTCCAAATATGTTTGCTACATTTTCTTTTTAAGAAAATGTCTACATTAGTTTCACAGAACTCACTTTGCAATTTATTATAGCATTCATTCATAATTTTTGTGAACCTACTATTTCCAGATTTAGACTTGCATTTACAAAAAAATCTGAATGGGAATAAAACCTACTCCCTGTAGTTCCAAATTATTGAAAATTTATAACAAGAAAATAGTATTTTTATGACATGAGATTGCAAATAATTTATGACAGTTAATTGCTTCTCTACATTGCAGACCTTGTTTAAGATAAAACTTAACTACAACTTAAACCTCTTTAAAATTATTTTTCTGTATATTCATGACATAGTTGTGCAAATATGAGATAACCATGCAGTAGTACGCTCTTTCTTTAATTTTCGATCACTCTCAGAAGAAAACTTAATTGCACAAATCATTTCAAGATAAATGGTCAGGCATGATCATAAAAAGAAAATCAGCACACATTTCTCATTGTATTTGAGAACATGGATCTAGAATTATGGCTGTAACATAAACATAGGCAAACTATGATCAAGAGAATTGTTGTTCAATATGCAGAGAAAAAGTACCTCTGCTGTGCCACACATTCTGAACAAAAAAAGTTCGCTTAACTGTATATATAAGAATTGCACTAACAACAAAACACTCATGAACACAAACCAACATATTTCTCTAGTGAAATATTACACTACCTAAATTCTCTGAAATAAAACACATTGGAATTGGGATTTTTCCATTGTATTCATTCAAGATATCAATAAACCCCCAAACACTCAGCTGGACTGCTACCAAATTTTCATATTAAACACAACCAATAATAAAAGGCATACATCAACAATCAAATTTGCCTCTTCAGTAATATTTCAGAGATATTAGCAACTTGCCAAAAAAAACTGTCCTTGATTGTGTGCAAAACTCATTCAACTTCAAAGCATAACTGGGATGCAGGACATATAGATCTCTTTTGTCAAGCACACATAATAAACAATGAATGTATACAACTCATTTATAGACTGAACTTTTCAGAGGTAACAAAAATTAAAATCTTACATTATTTTTCTACTTGAAAATGCATAAAAAATAATTATTTATTTTAAAAAATAATAATACCAACAATCTTGGAGCAATATAAAGAAATAGTTTTTAAATTAAATATCTTCATTTCAAAACTTTTATTAAAGTAAACAATAACACAATTGCAACAATATATCTCTTTAAAAATGAAATACAAATTTTATCACAAGAGCTGATTTTAAAACACCTTGAAAACTGCATCACTTTATTGATTTGATACAGTACATATTACACAAAATGATAATAAACTATTTGTCTAGTTTGTTCCCATTAAAAAAATGAAAAGTGATTTGAAAATTGCTTGTTTGCTGCAACAATGGCATTACTAAAAATTTGGCAGAAATGAATTATTAGTGAGAAGAAATAGGATTTTCTTATGGTATACTAGCATATTGCTGTTTAACAGATTCAATACACGAGAGCAGTTAACCACTGCTCTTCATGAACTTGAAATTTCAAACATGTCTCCTGAAAACTTTGCAGCAAGTGAGTAATGTAACCTGCTATAATCTAATTATAATTATTCACATACTGTCTTTTCTATTAAAACAAAAATTTACAATTTAAGTATAAACTTCAAGAGAGAAAAAGCAATGTTTTTAAAGCATTTTGGTCACATTAGCCAATTATAAATAATGGAGGCATTGATCTAAAATTTTGAAGTACAAATTTAAATAGATATGTTCAACACCATTTTTCTAAACAATATACCTACTTCCCTTATCATCTTCATGCTTCCTTAATATTGACAATTCTCAAACCATTGTCCAAAAAAGAAAATACCAGAGAATCTTCTTAACTAAAGAATATATGTTGCCACCTTTCTCTTACATATTAAGATGAAATTACTTATAACAATTAATGTGTTTATAAAGCTTAAAACACATTGAGAGAAATATTCCTAAATGTCTATGTTAACTATTTTTTGTATTATTGTAATACTTTATATGTAACGTTACACTGAAAATCCCTTATGGGAAACAATTTTCAATAACATTATTTGAAAAAATTGTCATAAAATTGTTAAGTCAAATGCACAAAGGATACAGACAAATTACCAAGCTTTTTTTCACTTTCAATAGGTTTTCTCAAAAAACATTCTTCTAACATTTTCCTTTGAAATGTTTATTTCAGAAACCAAAGAACCAAAAAATGAGGTAATGAAGAAATATTATTCTAAAAGGATATACTATGTAATTGTTTTTTCAATAAAAATTGAAATATATACTACTTTGGGCAAAAAATTAAAACCAAAACACACAATTATCCTGATACATTACATTCGTTTTTTCTTCTTCTGAAATTGGGCAAAATTTGTTCTTGACTACTTTTTGAAATGAACTATTAATTTTATATCACTATAGTCCTCATAGCCAATGACAAATAAACAGTGAAACCAAGGACAATCACAAACCATAGAAGAACAATTAGTATGGATTTGTCAATTTCACTCAATAAATTAAAAATAAAATAATTTCTTTCTAACACGTATGTATTTGAACAAGTGAAAAACGAAAAAAGATTCATAGTTGAAATTAGTCATTTATAGTAAGAAACATTATGTGAAAGATATATCTCAAGTCTTTCAATGAATTATCTAAAAACTCTCAGCATGTTCTAATGCTCACTAATTAATAAATATAAACACTAAATGACAAACCTGTAAATAGTGTTAGAAGGACTAACCTTCATTTTACACAAATATAAACAAGCACATCACACTATTCTTTTTTCTCTTGCAGAGAAATGTTACTTCAATAGTTAAAATTGTACCCACTCTTATGCTGATAATATTTCAATATTCTTCTGTCATATTTCCTACATTCACAATTGTAATAACAAAAAGTTTCATACCTAAGATTATTGCATGCTCAAACAAATTGTTCATAAATGGCTAGCAAAATGATGATACTCTTGTATAAATTACAAAATTAAATTATATACTGAAATCATTTTAGCAGAGAGTTGGGAAGAAACCTTTCACTACTATTTTATTAAAAATAAATTAACACAATCTGAAATAATGCTCAACAAGTTTCAAACTCTGCCCAAAGGTAGTGGAACCACCAGTGTGAGAAGTGTCTCAAAGGATGTGTTTCTGCAATTTCAAGATTTAAAAAATTAAATTTGAAAATCAAGAGGTAAATGTTTATGCCTGTAGATGATAACAACAACTCAAATCAAATGCAATTAAAATGAATACAACTATGCTATATAAAAGGAACAATTTCAAACATGGTTTACATTTCTACAAAATTAAATTATCATTTCACATTTTCCCCTAACATACCTAAGAAAATTCTTCTTAAGATTAGAAACAAAATCCACAACACTTCTTTTTTCTTTCAAATGCTAGGATTCAATCTCTTAACATATGACACTGTAAAGAAATTGAGAAACCACAGCCAGAGCAACCGCGAATATTGCAGGAATTATACAAATTAAATCATCTTTCTGTTACAATTTTGGAGACCATCTTAACCATGGTTTTGTATCTATCGACTTCTTCTCCTTGTGGACTGAGAGAACATTCTTTAAAACTGAAACAATCAAGAAATATATTTTAGGAACATCAAAATCTTTTTTTTTCTTCTTCTTTCTTTCAAATATATACTTAACAATACATTAATTAATATATTCTTAAGTATAAATTTTACCATTATTATCATTGAGTATACACCAAAGGCAAATTCTCTTTCTGAATCAAAAAGTTGCAAAGCATTTACCAATTCTTAAAGACACCTCTGCAACAATGTCAATGCTATAGTTTTAAAAATCATTAAACATCACCAATAAACGGAATATATAAAAATATAATAAACATTAAAGTAAATAATTAATTGAATATAAAAATCACAAAAGTATGTCAAGTTATAATTTTCTTTATTGGATGATGAATTTAAAAGTAGAGAATTGTTCATTGATGATTACAGTAAAAATTTAACATAGGTATTCTAAAACAAGAATGCTTCAAAAGGTTTTATTTCTTATGAGTATTAGTTCATTCAGTTGTATTTGAGTTAAATTCCTGCACACACAACTAAATGTAATTTTACATTCAACAAGATGATTCAAAAAAGTGTACAAACTCACGGAATGGTTCAGGGTATGAAGAAACGTGGTTTACGTTTGTGAACTCGTGGTCTCAGAGGCCCAAGCTTTATGTTAAGAGTGTAGGCTTCCGCAACTGGAGTCAGCAGCACCTTGGCTAATCGGGAGACGCCACTTCACAGGCACAACGTTGGCACCTGTGTCTAGCATACGGCATTTCCTGGACAGCCAAGCAGCCATTAATACTAACTTGCATTAAGAGATGCATCTATACTCCTGCATAACAAGCACACAAATGTGTATTTGAGTTATAGAGTTGGTGATTACTTCAGAAAGAGAGAAAAAGCAGAACTTGAAGACCTTCAATATTGCATTGGCAATAATGGAGTCATCAAAGAGCATCATATTTTAGGAGGACAGATCTATACCCTACATCACTATAGTCTGTGCATGCTATAGTGAATGAAGGGTACAGATATTGCTTGTGTAAACAACTAATATGTTTTAAATGTTATTAAAAAATTAAAATAAAACACTATAATCTGGGACTTGCAATAAACTCATTTAAATATATACACTTTTTTTGACAAAATATTGCTCAAACTTCTTTCAATTATCATAAATTTCTTGTTTTATACATACAGTTGTAGTCTACATAAAATGTATTTATGAACAGTACCTGCAAAAGTAATAATATTTAATCATCTGAAATCCAGTCTATACCAAATTATTCTCATATATTTTGTGCATGAGACTGATAGATTTAACAAATAACCAATGCACACAACAGTAACTTTGAACCTCCTGCATTGCAAAATTAAGTACTACCATTTAAAAGAAGGATCCGTAAACTCAAAATGAATTTTCCTTGCTTAACATATTATTTGTTCTGGATAATTCATTCAGGGTGGTATATGGTGCATCATTGTATCTAAAAACAAAATAAATCAAATGTTCAAAATCACTGAAAAAATGTAATCTTTACTAAAATAACAAGATAAGTGTCACTTACATTCAACATTCTTCATATATTCCTTCCTACATTTTGTCAATTTTATTAATAACAAAATATCTTCATCCATAATTCTATGGTTTTCAACAGACATGGTGAATTCTGTCATGTTTTTATCTTTATTTAAAATTATTTAGAAATCTTGTTTCTTTAAGGTAATTCTTTACCCATGGTCTTCTTAAATAAGCAGAACCTGAAACTTCAAAAAAATATTCATCAAGCACTTTTTTTCTTTTCTTTTTTCCAAATAAAGTTGAAGTATCAAAAACTACTCCAAAGGTTTGGATAAAATACTTTTGAAAGTTGGTTAACAGTTAAAAGTTATTTCTTTTGTATATTTCTTGCATTACACTGAATTTCAAAAAATACAGATGAAAAACACAAATATTACATGCGTATGCACTACATAAGTACAAAGAAATTTGAACATTTAATATTAAATAATTGTCTTTATTAAAATATTTTAAAAATAAGCATGCTTATTAATATAAGTTTTATCTTACGTTATCAAAAATAATCAATACTTTAAAATGAAATCAAAAAAGAACTCATTTTTTATCTGCAATGGATCTTTTGAACAGGTCTGTTTCTTCGAAATGAATAATTCAAAATCACGACTTGATACTATTTTTTCAAATTAATTATCACATATCATCTACAAATTAATGTGCAACCACGACAAAATGTGTATATTCACATGAAGGAAAATCTAGAAAACTTGAAAGCAAACTTCCCTATGCAATTAAGTTTGCTTTCAAGTAAATGTTCTCCAAGTTATTAATAATGATATAGGATGCTAATAACAGTTACGTTAAAACTCAATATAACATGAAAACTTGTTTACATTCAACAGTTGTTCTGAATGTACTCTGCATTCATTACGAATTCCCGCGGTTGTGTAACTTCTTTCCAAATAACACGAAATATTCAAGTCGTAGGGGCATCTAAAACTTTAAACTTATACATTGAACAGTTTTTTTATTAACTACAGGCAACTATATTATTTCAGCGTAAAGTAAATGTCCTCTCAATAAGATGATTATTAAAACCCGAAAATTAAAAAAAAAGAGTTATCTGGAATACCTGTCTATTTATGCTGTATGCTCGAACCAAACCTTCACCCAAGAAAAAATTGTAATACATTAAGCGCACTTATTTACCAACATCAATGAGCATTTTAACAAAGTCAGATGATGTAATTTTTACACTCACGAGCTCCCATTCTCTGGCCAAAGTCTGAATCTGATCGGCCGAGCAAGGGTCCGATTGACGTAGAATATTCCGGAGCGCTCCCCTCTGCGTTCCCCCGGTTCCCCCATGCGCACAACGAATGCGCATTGGGAATAGTTAGTCGTCTCTCTCCTATTCATTGAATTTCGGCAGAAGCACGTGAAGGCGAACTGGGATCATTTTTGTATTTTTTGATTATTTAGAGGAACCCATTCACTGTTAATCTAAAATATGTTGTTTGCTGGCAGATTTAGTGGCCTGAGAGCCTTTGATTGTTCCTCGCTAAGAGCAGAATTGAAAAATTCGCATCATTTTTCGACTTTATTGAACAAGGTACGGTACCGCTACTTTTTTAGTTTTCATTTAGTAACCATTGTTGACGGAGAGTTATTTTTGGATGAAATCATATATTTTGTATTATTGTAATATAAATGAATGAAAACATTGACTTTGGAAATAATGTATGCTTAGTAATATGCCGGTATGGTGAGGTAAGATTTGTTATATAAACGTTGTGTTCCTTCTTGTAGGTTGCTTCACCTTCGATTTGTGCAGCACAAAATGGAATTCAAACGAGAAACAAGTAAGATCATTCTTTTTTTGCATTTGCTAAAGTAATATTGTTTCAGGGGTATTGCATCAGCATTAACCTCTTCAGTATGAATTTGTTTTATCTTTGGTTGTTGTTTTAAATGATTAAGCGACATACATGATCATGTTTTCTGCACATATTTTGGAGCTTAGAATATATAGAAATTATGTTTGAAGACTTAGGTTTCACTTATGCTCTTGTTTTGTACAGATCCGAAGGTGTTAAAGGGGCTGTCATCGGTATTGATTTGGGAACTACAAATTCATGTGTTGCTGTTATGGAGGGCAAACAAGCTAAAGTAATTGAAAATGCTGAAGGTTCAAGGACAACACCTTCAGTAGTAGCATTTTCAAAAGGTATGAGCTTGTAAAATTTGGATGTATTGTAGAGTGTATAAACATAGTGATAAAAAATACGGCAGCATTAATTAATCATATTGTTGTGAATTACTAAAGAAAGAATTGAAACAATCAAGTTCAACACCTGTAACGTTGACCTTCTAGGAAAAAAGGCAATCTACAGTAATTACACAAAATACTAATTAGTATATGCTAAGTTTAGCTTACTAATACATGATAGACTTACTTCACAAATTTCAATAAATGAACTGTTCTTAAATGGAAGATCTCGAGGTCTTCTGACTATAGAAACTATCCATCTATATCAATTCTATCAAACTAATTATACTGAAACTTAGTTACCAATCTTCTCTCCTTGAGGTTCATTGATGTAAATTCTTTGTTGCCACTAAAGGAACAGAAAAGAGTGAATCATTAATTAATGTACAGAGAACATGTATTATATTTTTGTATTAGTGATCTGGCTAGGATAATGTGAGAATCCATTTATAGATGGTGAGAGATTAGTGGGAATGCCAGCTAAGCGGCAAGCTGTAACAAATTCGGCCAATACCTTCTATGCAACAAAACGACTTATTGGAAGACGATTTGAGGATGCTGAAGTAAAGAAGGATATGTAAGTTCTGAGTTCTATTTTTTATAAGTCCTGCATTTACTGGAAAGAATAAATTTTAAACTTGTTTGTTGCTTACAGAAAGACAGTATCTTATAAAATTGTACGTGCTTCAAATGGCGATGCATGGGTTGAAGGTAGTGACAAAAAGATGTATTCTCCAAGTCAAATAGGAGCATTTGTTTTAATGAAAATGAGAGAAACTGCTGAAAGTTACCTGAATACACCTGTGAAAAACGCTGTTGTTACAGTCCCAGCTTATTTTAATGATTCACAACGACAGGTTTGTATATGGTGTTTGGTGAATGGTTATATTTTTGTAATATTTGTAAAACAAGTATGAGATTCTAATATTGTGCTATTTACTTGCCCAGGCAACAAAAGATGCTGGTCAGATTGCAGGGTTGAATGTTTTACGTGTTATTAATGAACCAACTGCTGCTGCATTAGCGTATGGAATGGACAAGACTGAAGACAAAGTGTAAATATGTATTCTGATAATTACTTTTATTGTAAAGTACTGTATTGGAGGTAAATGCATAATAATTTTGTTTGTCCTTCAGAATTGCTGTCTATGATCTTGGTGGTGGTACTTTTGATATTTCAATTTTGGAAATTCAGAAAGGTGTATTTGAAGTGAAATCTACTAATGGTGATACATTCCTGGGCGGTGAAGATTTTGACAACACATTGGTGAACTTCCTAGTCAATGAATTTAAGAAAGAGGTAAAAATTTACTATAGATGGTTGGCTATTATTCTTTATCATACTCGCTTATGAAGGAATTGACACATTACCAACAGAATATGGAAATCATCATGTGAATGTGCAGATGAAATAGCTTTATATAAACAATTAACCTTTTTGAGTACAGGTGACGCTTGGTTGAAAGTATCACAGTCATTGAGGCTTTGGTCTTTGGCCTCTGTGATTAACATAAAACAACTTTAGTCTTCGCAACACAGAATTTTCAATCCATTTTGTAGCCAAATAAATTGTTGCCAAAAGGAAAAAAAATTATAACAAATCAAATTCTGTGAATTTAATGCAGAAAGTAACTTTAGAGTTATTGAAGAAGCACATGAGTAATTGCTTCTAAATAACTCAAAAAATATTCGATACGCATGAGGCATTTAGATTATCTCCACAAATTCCTTAAACTTGAACCAGACATTATAACATGATTATTTCACACTCTTTCTTTCATTGAAGTGAAAGTGTGAACTATTCTTGTGTGTGTGTTTTTTTAGGCAAGAGTTGCACAAAATGGAGCTCATTATCTCTGAATTAAATATAAGTTCAATCTTGCACATTCAAACTCAGAACAGGATTTCCCACTTGTCATTCTTTGCTTTCATTGTTTGATTCTATGACATCTGGAGTCAATTCTAGAGTGGAGGCAAGTAAGGGATAAGACCCAAGAGATTTTTGATTAGTTTTAGTTGTAGCTCTTTTGTTAATTTAAATTATTTTTTCAGCAAGGAGTTGATATAGCCAAAGATCCCATGGCAATGCAGCGATTGAAAGAAGCAGCAGAGAAAGCAAAAATTGAATTATCGTCATCTGTTCAAACTGATATTAATTTGCCCTACCTGACAATGGATTCTTCTGGTCCCAAGCATATGAACTTAAAGGTTTGGTAAAATTATGAATACACTTCTCACATTCAAAAAGTCATTACATTGTGATTTAATTGGATACATTGTGTTGCAGTTAACCCGTTCTAAATTTGAGAATTTGGTTGGTGATTTGATTAAAAAGACAGTTGGGCCATGTCAGAAAGCTTTGCAAGATGCTGAAGTTGCAAAATCAGAAATTGGGGAAGTTCTGCTTGTTGGTGGAATGACAAGAATGCCTAAAGTAAGTTAATTCAATTTGTATTACTGAACTCTAAATTTAATTGTTTTTGCTGTGATAACCTGGCTGTAAGTACGTTAAATTTATGGGCAATAATTGTATTATGATTTACAAGAAAAAAAGGGGGGGGGGATGCTGTCTTAAGAAACTAGAATTTGCTTGTAATAAATTCTTCCGTGAACACTGCAGGTGCAATCCACTGTTCAAGACATTTTTGGTCGTCAGCCAAGCAGAGCTGTAAACCCTGATGAAGCTGTTGCAGTTGGAGCTGCTGTGCAGGGTGGTGTTTTAGCAGGGGATGTTACAGATGTGTTGCTTTTGGATGTCACTCCACTTTCTCTTGGAATTGAAACTTTGGGAGGAGTGTTTACAAGACTTATTTCTAGAAACACAACCATTCCAACCAAGAAGAGTCAAGTATGCAAAATTCTCAAACATTTGATACCAAAACTGCATTCTATTATGTAATGAGAGAATTGTTAGTAACAGTCGTTTCACTGAAATTTAGGTATTTTCAACTGCGGCTGATGGACAAACCCAAGTTGAAATTAAAGTTCATCAGGGAGAGAGAGAAATGGCAGCTGATAACAAACTTTTGGGACAATTTACTTTGGTTGGTATACCACCTGCACCACGAGGTGTGCCACAGATTGAAGTTACTTTTGATATTGACGCCAATGGAATTGTTCATGTGTCAGCAAGAGATAAGGGCACTGGCAAAGAACAACAGAGTAAGTTTGGATTTTAATTTCATTTGCCTGAATAGAATTTTCTTAAATGATTATGTTGAAACTTATATTTTGTTAACAGTTGTTATTCAGTCATCTGGTGGTTTGAGCAAAGATGAAATTGAGAACATGGTCCGTAAAGCTGAAGCATATGCAGCTCAGGATAAAATTAAGAAGGAGCGTGTTGAAGCAGTAAATCAGGCTGAAGGCATTATTCACGACACAGAATCAAAAATGGAAGAATTTAAGGATCAGCTTCCAAAGGAGGAGGTAGGTATCTGAAATGTTGACCTTTTTAAGAGATGTTTGCATTTTAAGAAATAACCAACTTTAATATTTATATCCAATAAAAGTTATCCCTCAAAAAGTGCTAAAAAGTTCTAGTTAAATTTGTTTTTTTGAATTTTTCAGTGTGATAAGCTGAGAGAAGAAATTGTGAAGGTGCGTGATATAGTAGCCAAGAAGGATGAAACTGATCCTGAAGAGATCCGCAAGGTGACTGGTGCTCTTCAGCAGGCTTCTCTCAAGTTGTTTGAAATGGCTTACAAGAAGGCAAGTATATATAATATTTATTTGACTACAATTGGCTGATTGCCAGGTGGTAGCCATAACCCTACAGTTTTACATATATGAACATTTATAATTCAAAAACAATTTACCATATAAAGACAATTTACAATACACTCCTTTCGAGCATAGATGTTGCATATTGATATCTAATTGAAACATATACTAATTTGCAATAATAGCAATATGCTAAACGCATCTGAGTAAGATACTTGCCAAAATGTGTGGATTTGCCATATATGTGGACATTGCTTTTAGGGGATTTGAAATGTGAAGTAAAATTTCACTATTGTTCAAAGTTGTTGCGTGTTATAAAAAACGTTCACTGCTTGCAGATGGCTGCTGACCGTGAAGGCAGCAGTGGTAGCTCTGGCAGTTCCCAGACTGAAGAACCGGAGAAACAAGAGAAGAAAGAAGAGAAGAACTGAAAAAAGTAGTGTAAATGTGTATGATAGTGTGTGTGCTGATTTGTTATCTTGAGTGTGCATTAAAAGAAATTATGCACATCAAAAATTTCCGTTACAAATAAACAGTGAATGGACAAGTCGAGCACAAAGCCAACAAAAACATTGTGCGTTTTGAGGGTAGGTCTAGTGAAGGTTACCTGTGAATGCAAGTTTAGGTTAGGTCAACTACAGTATGCAAGTAATTCCTATTGAACGTAAAATGTAATTGCAATAAATGGGTTATCTTGAAAAATTATGGAGGAGACTATTAATGTATTTCGATGTGTATGTTGATTTTTAAGAGGTTCATTTCTAAAATTGCTTAGTCAAAAACTCAAAACAAAATTGAGTAAATTCTTTGATCATAAATATTGTGATCTGAATCCAAAAGCATGTGTGAAAGAAATGTGTGTAATTGCAGTGTGTGTATGTATGCATGTATGTAACATTTAGTTGCCTGTTGCCCACATAGTATGTTTTCTCGATTCATAGATTCCAGAGCACCTTTGTTGCTATGTAATATTTGCTTCTTTCTCAGCAGGTGCTATACTTTATATTTGTGTTGTATATTTTTTCGAAAAATAAGAAAGATATATTTAGCAATTTGTTATATTCTTTCATCATCCTGATAAATAATTTCCTGTCCTCAAGCCCCATAATTTTTCAAATACTTGTGTAAGATTTAGGAAATGTTATTAATTTTTGTTAACCAACAAAAAAAGTTATCAATAAAATTAGTGTGAATGTAAAACTTCATGCAGAATCTCTAGCTTATGATTCATGTTACATCCAATGTACATTGCCTTGAAAACGTGTTCTACTAATGGCACAAACATTTTTATTTCCTTCTATTTTGAGTCTGCTACCGTCTCAGTTTGCCACACCCACTGCCTGGCTGTCATCAATCAGCACCTGAGGGATCTACTGGGGTCTCTTATGTAGCAATCACACCCCAGAAGAAATTTCTAAGAAGAATTTCCTCACAATTCGTGTGTGCTTATAACATTGTTCTGGGCCAGTTCCTTAACCTACAGATTTGCATACATTTCTTACACTTATTGGTCAGGACAATGTTCTTGACACCACATGATCATGTGTAACAAGGTTGGATGACTTGATCATACCATTTTTAAATGCGTTATGATTAAGTAAAATAATTTTATGAAAATAATATTGGTAAAACACCTTTTTGATGAAGATACGTGGCCTATAATTTGCTTTACAACATTCTGTTTTTGAATCTTAATGATATTTCACACCATTCATTTCCACAGTAACAGTGTAAACAAAGTTACTTTAGCTTTGAAAACTATAGACTTCACACTTACTGATCAATTTCTCAAAATTTAATAACCAAACAGAGGACGTAGAATCAAGTTTTAATCAAAATGTCATGTGATTCAGTTCATTATGCTTTATCTGTACAAAAGTTTAGAGCTTATTATTTGATAAAATATTGTTAACTTTCTTTCCTCCAAAAATTGTCCAGATTTCTATTCAAAATTATGTGAAAAATATTCATGGTTTGAAAATGTACATGACATTAATTAATGATTAATTTTGAAATATAAATTTCATTGAAAAAATATATGGTGCTATTTTGATTTTCATTAAAATTCAAGAATTTTTGAAAATTTCAAAAGGTAAGAATCCTCTAAGTTAGGAGTGGATTTTAAAGAGCTAGAAACACTCCAAGATCCAGACTTTTGGCCCCACGTGATAATTTGCCCGTTTTGATTTTGCTTCTACCCCAGAGAAATCAAGACAGCAAATTTTCAAAAAAAACAACAACATAACATAATAAAATAAGGCAACACTAAAAAAGATAGAACTAACACTGCAAAAAGTGGGAACATGGAATGTGTGGGAATTAACTCACAAAGAAACAGAATTAAAAATGGAACTTAGAAAAAGAAAGCTAGACATAATTGTTGTTATTGAAATGAAGAAGAAAAACAGAAGGTCTAAAGAACTAGAATATCATATTATTATTTATTAATAGAAGTAGAGTCGAGTAGATTCCATAGAAGAATATAACTGGATATCTACAAGACTAATAATGATGAAACTAAAAGTGAACAAACACACACTAAATATAATAGGAGTATATGATTCAGTTGAAGGATGGTAAGAAGAATCTGTTTCTATAAAGACTACAAAAACTAGTGGACCAAGTAAGTAAAGATGAGCTCCTCATATCTTGCGACTTGAATGCCAGAATTGGTGATAATGAAATACCTCAATGCAAAGGCCCAGAAGGGGAAAAAACAATAAATGAAAATGGGAAAATGCTTCTTAACTTTTGCCTATTCAACAACTTAAGGATAACAAATAGCGTTTTCAATCATAAAGAAATCCACAAATTTACTTGGGAAACAAGAGGTACAAGATCCATCCTAGACTATGTTTCGAGGCTGTGATATAGACAAAGATCACTATTTGATAGCAAAATTAAACTTGTGTTACAACAAAAAAAACAACTAAGGAAAATAGTTAATGAAATAGTAGAGAATGTGGGAGAAGGACGTTGAGAAAGAGATAATAAATCAAAAGAAGAAAGCAACAGAACCTACCTCCAAAACACACAATGGAAAACTACATGGAATACAAAAGATTTCGGGTCAAAGTGTGACATGTCAGCCAAAAACACAGGAGAGAGGTCTGGAGAAAATTTGTTAAAAGCTTTAGAAAGAGATGTATCAGGCTCTCAACAAACGCGTTTCAAAGTTTTGAAATTGCTGCACATGAATGTGAAAGATAAAATAGATTAGATTGCATACCAGAAGAAAATTTGATAATACCCTACTCCACCCTGTGGAACAATCCAACTCTCAGATCCATTGAAGTGCTTGAAGAAACAATCCAAATCTCTGACAGTGATGAACTAGACAACTCAGTGAATACAGAAGTACTCAAGGCAGTTATAAAAAAATTAAAAAGTAGGAAAAGCCCTGGAGCAGATGAGGCCAACATAGAACTTATATGATGTGGAGGAAATGAGCTGAAAGAAATGTTATTAAAACTTTTTAACCCAATGTGGGAAGAGGGTTTGGTTATTACCATTCACAAGAAGAGCTCAAAGATATGAGACAATAATAGGGGTGTTACATTGCTATCAACAACTCCTAAGCAATATGCAAACATGCTAAGGAACAGACTCAATGAAATATGTGAGAATTTCATGGGAGAAGAGCAATGTGAATTCCGAAATGGTAGAAGCACTAAAGATGCTATCTTTACATTACAGTTGTTAATAGACAAAAGAAGGGAAAGGAATCTACCAACTTTTATAATATTTATTGATTGTGAAAAGGCTTACGATAAAGTTAATAGATAGAAACTCTGGGAAATACTAGAAGAGGAGAAAGTCCAAATTAGTTACGCAATTCGATACAAAGTCTACAAAAACTCAAGAATTAAAATACTCTTAAGAGAGGGGAAAAAGTCTGCAGCAATAACAAACAACAGTGGTTTAAGGCAAAGATGTGGATTATCACCCATCCTCTTCAATATATATATTAACCAATTGGTGAGAAACTGGAGAATACAGATCACAAAAGACAAGACAGCATACAATCTTGTATGCTGATGACAAACTATCGTAATGGATTCTGAAGATAATTTACAAAGAGCAGTATTTGAATTGACAAAAGTAACCCAAGAATATTCCCTGAAGGTAGCAATTCAGAAAATAAAAGTTATGGCAATACAAGGCAAGGAACAAAGCAGAAACAAAATAGTAATAAATGGAAAATTAGTGGGTCAAGTTAATACATTTTTACACATTGGAACTATAATAAGTGTATACAACCAAACTAAGGAAGATGTAGAAAACAAACTTAATAACTACAATAGAATATGTGGAAAAATCAAGAGACACTTTGGGAGAAACATGGACCCAGAAACAAAACTGAAACTCCACAATATAGCTGCTAAACTTAGAATCGTGTATGGGAAATGAAAAAGAGAGACAAACCAAAACTATAGGTGGCACACATGAGATTTCTGAGATACATCATGGAAATTACAAGAAGAGACAGACTAAGAAATAAAGACATTAGAAAGAAATTTAAAACCAAATGTTCAGTAGAGGAGATAGAACAGTCTCAAAGAAGATGGAAAGATCATTTACAGAGAATGAACAACAGATTTCCAAAATTAATCTGGAAGTGCAAACCAATAGGGATCAGAGATACAGAGAGATCAGTAAAGAGATGGCCACAGCAGAACTCTTGGAAGACTATGAATTTACCAAGAATATTGTAATAAACCAATAGAAGCAGACTGTAGAGCCTAATTTCTGGTCTGTTCATGATTATATAAATATACGCACACACATCATAAGATGTTAAGAAATAAATATTGTTACAATTTTTTATTGACTGTACAAATTCTAATGTACTATAATTTTCATTTAATTATATGACATTTGACTATTCATCTGAGGAATGTTGATATTGTAAATAGTTCATAGAAGGCCAAAAATTATTAGAACAGTGATGCTAGTATGATAGTGTTTCTGCTGATGCCATCTTGTTGTTAATCTGTCTCTACATTTGAATTTTATTCCGTAATTTAATGCTAATCATGCCAGTCAGCATAAGTGCATTCTTTCTGTAGCCCTTGTCCCTTTGTTGTCATATTCTTTTATTTCTTTGGATGGATGTTCAATTTTCAGTAATTTTCCAATTTTCTCAATTTGAATTTTTTCTCCGAAAATTAACTTTGAAAACATCATCTAAGCTATTTCCACCCTTCTTGTTTCTTTTGTACTTATTATCTGCATACTTTCATATTAACTTTGAATGACCCTTCACATTTCTAAAAGTTTATCCAAAAATAAATGGTGTGGATGGAGAAGATATCACAGAAAACATTGAAAGAACATTAACTCCAACTTCATTGGCCTAATGCTATCCTGCTTTCTAGCTTATTTACTTCAGTAAAATAATTCAACAGAACAAGTAAATTGGAAATTAACCATTATTAAGGAAATGTAGCATCGTTGTCATCGTCATCGTCAACAACAACAATTAAGGATTAAGTCTACGACTTGTTCCTTTTGAATTAGTATACCTTGGTCTCTGATCTTGCTATCTTACTTGAGGTCTTCCTTGTTTTCATCATTCCTGTGTCCTATTTCCTGTACATATGTTGCTTTTGTTCTCTTAATATGATTTGGCAATTTTCTTTGTAATACTTATACTGTTTCAACTGAGCTCTTTGTTTTTAGTCTCTTTTGTTTCTAATAAGAGAAGAAGAGGAAATGTTCTGCCCTAAGGAGATTCTAATAAGGCCATTTCAGTGACCCCAAAGGAATGGAGGGATCAGATTATAATGACAACAACAACAATAATACAGAGCAAGAAGACAAAATGGAAGATAAGAGAAGTGTCAACATGGACCAATAGAGGAATTACACAAAAAGGAACAGCATACACAACTAATGACAAGAAGACAGGACAAACACAATTCAATACAGAGAACTAAAAATTGCTACATGGAATGTTGGTAGAAGAAAAAAAACCTTTAAACAGAAATAAAAAAAGAAATATTGACTTTCTAATTCTATCAGAAACAAAAAAGAAAAGCAATGACACTAAATAAATGCAGAATCACAATCTAATATATTCAGGAGTAAAGCAGAAAGAAAGAGCAGAAGCAGGAATTGCAATAATGATACACAATAAATGAAAGACCAGAATTGAAGATTATAAGTATAATTCCCCAAGAATAACTCTCAAACTCTGCATCACAGAAAGGAAATTAAATGTCATAGGAGTCTATGTACCAACAGAAGGAAAAGAAGAGGAATCCAAACA